ATTGGACAACGATCACGTGAAAGTCACGGGAGTGCACTTAGAGGGGGAGTTTTATATAGATGGGAATGAAAAAAGACTGTGCAGTGCAGGGGGAAGGGGGTGTGCACTTATCTCTAATTCCCGAGCTTGGGAATGAATGAAAGCATGCATTTAGAGAGGGTGTGCACTTAGAGGGGGTGCACTTAGAGGGGGTTGACTGTATTTGTTTTTTATCATGCCAATTTATCCAATTATTATTCTTTTCCTCTTTTTTCTTAGTATATTTTTTGGCATATTTTTCGTTTTCTATTTCATAGAGTACTATTCTTATTCCGCTTTCTTTAAACGTTCCTATATATTTTTCATATTTCTTTTCTTCTCTTGTCTTTCTTCCTAAATAATATATTCTTCCTAAATCTATTATCTTTTCTTGTTCCCATGGGTGTTCTTCCTCTGTTTCATATAGTGAATTTTCTAAATCTAACATCATTCTTCTTTCTTCTATTTCTCTTTCCATTTTTCTTCTTTCTTGTTCATCATCATTTTTCATTTTGTTATCTGATCCCTCATTTAGCATCTCTATTCTTTCACAAAAATCCAATTCATCATCTGAATCTTTTATTTCTGATAGTTGTAGTGGTCTATTTCCATAATCTCCTCTTCCGTATACATTCTTTGTGTATAGTTTAGTTTTTTGTATATTTGGTTCATATTCTGGGTTAGGTATACTGAATTGATTTTTTGACAAGTTGATTTCTATCCCATTCTGTTTTTGTGTTCTTAGTCCTATACTTATATAGTTACTGTTTGTTGTGCTTCTTGATATGTAACATTTATTACATGTTATGAAGAAGTATTCGAATTCTATAATTGTTGAGTCATCTGATTTTTTTGATGTAATGTTTCTTGTGTTTGATATTTCTTCCGGTAATCCTCCGTTTACTAATGCTATATCTTCTCTTCTTAGATTATGTGTTCCACCTCCGATTCTTGTGGCTAAATTACTATTTGATATATAGTCGTATTCTCTTTCCATATTAAATAATACTTTAAATTCTACATTTCTGATTTTCCCTATTGCGGTAAATTCTGATCCTCGATCTCCATTTTGGTATAGCCTTGCTATTAGTGTCAGTCTTGCTCCCGTTTGAGTTCTTCCAATAGTAGTTATTGTTGCCGTGGTTGGTTGTCTAGTTGTTGTAGATCTTCCTGATCCTTGATATTGTGGTCTTGTTACAAAAGGATTTCTTCTTGATGCTTCCCTATATCCTTTATTTTCTTCATTTTCATAATTTATTCCTTTTTCTAGAATTCTTTTCTTCTTTCCTGCAGAAGAAAATTTCTTTTTTGAAAATTTATTTCTATTGGCTTTCTTATTGTATATTCTTGGTTCATTTTCTCTTTCATTATCTGTTGTGTTTGGTGTAGTTAATGGTGTATATTCTACTCTTTTTTCTTCCTTTTTAGGTTCTTCTGTATATTTTGGTAGATCCTCATTTTTATTTTCTTCATTTCTGATATGAATTGGTGTTTGTCCTGGCCTTGATATAATTCTTCCTGATTCAAATGTTCTTCTATTGTCATTTAAGAATGATGGTCTTGGTCCGGTTGATTCTCCAAATTCTATTTCATTATTTCTATTATAAGTTTTTTCTATATTTGAATTATTTTCACTTCTTTTTTGGAATATTAGTTCATTTCTATTTACTCCTGGGGTTATTTCGTCTTTATTTC